TATATAAATAAACACACGCGCGCGAATACAAACAGTATAAGACGACCGACCATCAATTATCACTAGCGAAGGGTTACAAATTAGGCCGTCTAAAAAGATCGACATCTTTGAGTGTGCGCGTGCTGGTGTGCATGTGCGTCAATAAATTTTGAGAAGCTCTCATCAAATCAAAACCACACAATGACTGCAAACCTGACAACATCACTGAAGAAATAAAACTCAAACCATCGAATCATTGGCGTTGCAAAGTTAGGTGGTACATAATGCGAAAAATGTATTCTGCCTCACTATCCTAAACACACACAATACTTATTATTATTTTTTTACAATTTTCACACGGCCCCACCAACACACACAAAATATGAGTGTGTGCGTGTGTTCCACTGCATCCAATAATCTCTCTCTCTCTCTCTCTCTCTACTTCATTTCCTCCCAAATGAATAAATAAATACAAATTGCGATGAAACCGTCCACACCTGACAACAGAAACACAACACAAAAGACGAGGCAGCGACAATAACAAACCCACAGACACAACTTACCCCTCCTTGACAGGGTGCAAAATGGTCTGAGAACCGTCCATATCCACACAACATTTTGTCCCCAAATCGATTTCTGAAAGGAATATAAAAAAGACAAAGTTTACAGCAAAACAAGCAGCACGGACTTTAAAAAAAAAAACTGTACAAACTCTGAATAGCCCTACAGCAGTGGTTCTCAAACTACCTTCACCGCGACACCCTTGTCGTGCTTAAAAAAAAATCGCGGCACACGTACCTTTAAAGCGGTTTGAATGCGTAGTTAAAGAAGGAAATACATTGCACATATAATGTTCAGTTGTCTTTGGTGCTATGAATGAAACTGGATGAATTTTTTAATTATACCCTTTATGTATTTGAGAAGTTTATAGTTAATTTTAACCTCAACTCACGTGACCCAGAAAGTTTGCTCCTGTCTGTTTTTTATGTAAGCGTACATTGAGAATTCACTGCAGCCTGGCCAAAAGCATTGTCTTCTGAACATACCTGCAACTAGAACTCTTCTTGGCTTCCTTCGTGGTGTTTCTGTTTTAAACTGCTGCCTTTGCTGATCTCAAGCAGATATGGAAAAAATTCTTGATTGTTGCCGCGGCGCCCAGTTTGAGAACCTCTGCCCTGCATTACTGCCCCTTGACTAGCATTTTTTTAACAGTGCATATTTTAATTTTTAAAAATCAACAATTAAAGCATAGAATTACTATTGTATACTATATCACAAAAGTATATTAAATGTACAAAACGCGTTTAGCTGTTTGGAGACTAAAAATGCTTAGTGCATGTCAGGGTTGGATAACGCCTGTGAAAATGAATACATGAAAAGTAAATCTGACATTTAGGAGCAGTTAGCCCTGATCTGTGGAATAAAATCAATTTTCTCATCAAAACATTAAGTATGCACAATACAACATAAAATCAGCTGCCATTACTTGCAGTGACCGATGTGAGCAAATATCAGAACATCGCAAGTTAAAAATGAACTGAAATAAATACAGGTAAGATATGTACACAACACTGTGGCGTCCTTCCCCTTGTTGGTGAAACAACTAAGCTATGAGCTTGTCATTTTACCAACTCCATTCTCGCTGTGCTAAATATAAATTACAAAAAAAAAAAGCTTTCCCTAACCATAAAACTGAACCTAAAACAAGACATTTAATCCTGACAGTCATCAATAAGCAGCTAAAGTGTAAACTGTTTACGACAGATGAAGCAAATCATGCATTTAAGAGTTCCCTGTACATAAATGCAAACTGAAAGTAGTTTAATAAAAGTCTCTAAATAGAATGGACATTAAATTTTTTTAAAGTTTCTTCCATAGGGTGTCTGTAATCATATAAGTGACAACCAGTAAATATCAATACAGTCAGAATTACAGGTGAGTATTTTCGTAATAATAATAAAAAAAACAGCTAAGTGTATTTTCAGATGACAAGGCATCAGGCTTTAAAATACAAGTGTATCGGCTTCATCACACCCCATTTAAAATCCAGTATGACTTTACGCAGAAGGGCTGGTTATCGCAGAGTGCTAAACAAACCACGATAATTACATACAGAAACAACTCCAGCATTGTTTTGACCTTTGTAGTTTTTCTAAGCAAATTTACGTTTAGTAGTTTGCCATTGCTCTCTGGGCAGTCGGCTATCGAAACCAAAGCAAGACAAACCGTGCGCAGCTGGGTACGAACCTAGCACCCCGGCATTACGAAGCACGTTTTCAACGGCTAAGCCACAGATGCCAACAACTAAGCACTGACCTTACACCGCATTACAAGCATGACACATAAATATATGTACAAGTGATGGCTGAACAACCCACTGCTCCGTCATTAGCATGTTTAAATAGTGAGCAAATGATGATTTGCTTGAATCAGCTACGTTAGGTCAAAATGTGCAGATATCACAGCCTAGCAGTAAGCCACACCGTGCCAAATGAATCACTAATCAGTGCTTGCCATGAGAACGAATAATTTAGAGACAGACTATACAATTTGATTGGAAGCAGCTACCATTAGTAAATACAGACATGCCATATGACAGAATATTGAAAGAAAATCTACTTCATCGCGTAAAAAAGAAGAAAAAGACACAGTAAAAAGAACAACGGAATAGACAGACCGAAATTTCGCGTTTGAAAACTCAGTGACCCACGAGTCGGAGTGAGGCGTGAAGAAGGCTTGTTATTAACGAATGAGCTATTTTGAAGAGGGAGCCGATGTGGACTAGTGGCTGAACGCTCGCCTGCGAATCGGACGGTCGTGGGTTCGGTCCCTGGCGGAGGCCGAACTTTTTTCAAAAATGACTTCGGCTCCTAGGTCGGCACAGCCTTGAGTGGGTACCAGGTAAAGTCATGGGAAGTAAAGGCGGCCGGAGTGATGCTGACCACATCACCCACCAACAACCGTTTGGTCTTTAAAATATAGGTCTAGCCCTAAATACCCAATACGCCTGAAAGGCGTGGAAAAGGACCCTTTATAATTTCGAAGAGACATCACTGAAATGTTCTGCCGAGCTTGTCTCTACCCAACGACAGAAGCATGCAGTGCTTCTTCTTCTTCGCGTTCACCAGCTGTAAACTCTGGCGGAAGGTTCTGGTTGCTCGCCCACTATTGAACTGCAATCCTGCTCCAGTAGCTGGGTGTTGCGTGTGCATCAGTTTTACAGATCTCATTCTCTTGAATACAGACTGTTGGTTCCTTGCCTCTCCGGCAGATGCACTCCGACTTCAAAGGAAGCTCCCCAATTAGTCGACTCTTACGATATGCTTTGGGGAGGCAGTGGGTCTATTCTTGTTTTTCCCACAATGGGTCCCTGGAACCCACACGGTGCTGAGATCACTTACATCAACCCACCCACCGCGGATTATATGTTTTTTTCCCCTGTAGCCGTTTCGGTTGCCGGAATATGACTGTTATTTGACTGAACGGAAGTTGTCGTGGCGTTGGCGGCTAGACGCCCGCCTGCGAATCGGAAGGTCGTGGGTTCGCGACCTGACCGAGCCGGACTTTTTGTTTAATGACTTTGACCCCCGGGTCGACCCGGACTTGAGTGGGTACCAGGTGCAGTCCTGAGAAGTAAACACAGCCCTCTGCTCAGATGCTCTATTATTAAGTAAACTTACTATCTCTGATGGTGACTTCACAAGCAAAAGACCAAATTTAGCCTGCGTGCGTTGCTCAACTTAAGGTCGCGTCTGCCACGTCGTTTCATCAAGGTCAATGTCAACTTATAAAACTGTTATCTACATGTCATAATTACTAATTCGAACATGAGTCGACTATTCCGGGAACTCTTTAAAGCAAGCTCGTACAAAGGTCACGTTCAAATAACAATTCAAACTGTAGAATTCAGTGAAGATGGTAAACTGGACGAAGAAATTGAAATCCGACGCATTAAAGCTGGCCAAGTAATGGGACAGATAGCTCCCCTCTTACAGCATAAGGCAATCCCAGTCAGCACAAAGAGACATCTCATACAAAGCATATTCATTCCCATCCTATGCTACCAGTGCCAGACGTGGTCACTCACAACAAAACATAAAAGGAAATTGGTAACCATGGAAATGAGGTGTCCGAGAAAGACTGTAGGAGTGACCAGAAGAGACCAAATCAGGAATGAGGTCATACGAGATAAAAGTCGGCACAGAACCAATTCTAAATTACATACAAAGACAGCAAATCAAATGGTTTGCCCACTTGGAGAGAATGCCTTCTGATGCTATACCATACAAGGCATTTACCAAAAGAGGAGAGGTACGTAGAGCTAAAAATAGAGCAAGGACAAGCTGGTTGGATAACATCAGAGAAACTTTACAGTATCACGTTGTGTCTATGGTCGAAGCAGTCAGACTAACACAAAACAGGACCTTATATCTCCCTCGACACTTGAAGTGGTAAAGAGGATGTAAAGAAGAAGAAGAAAAAGAATCCCGCCTCACAATACCACAACCTAGAAAGACTTAGGAAGAGTACCTCTTAACAGAGGGAAAAAATAAACTCTTTAAAAAACCGGTAGCGTAGGAAACGAAACAAGAAAGACATAACTAGGAAGCTAATAAAGATAATTTGGACAGCAATTGTAACAATACTGTGTTACCAGTGTCGAATGCGTGTTGTGTATCCTTTTCATGTCATTGCGGGGCCAACCCCGGCTTTTTTTTTTTACTGTTGTTGTTTTTCTGGGCAAATTTACGTCTAGTAGTTTGCCACCGCTTTCTGGGCAGCATTAACAACAAAAGGAGAATGCAGAACTACAGAAATGATATGGGAACGGGTTCTTTGTCATATATTCTATTGAGGGGCCACCTGAGGAAGGTTGAAAAAAAAAATTTTTAGAAGTTGTGACAACGTAGCCTAGCTGTAAACAAACCTCTTTAAAGGGCGAAGGCAACAGAATTGTTAGATATTTTTTTTTTACATGTGAAATGTGTTTACTGATTGAAATGACAACACAGAAACATTTTCTAGCTGCCTCTGTGAGCTCCCTGAGGCTGTCCTGGCCTAGGTCCAGGTTGTCCCTCCCTGGCAGCCAGTGATGCCACTTTTCTTTGACAAAAAAACATCCAAAACGGAGTCAAAAAAATATCTAAAAACATCTAAATGTGCGTGGAAAACATCTAAATCTGTTTCTTAGGTTAGACTTGATAAATTCACTCCAAATGAAAAACATCTAGAAAACATCTACCATCTAAATGTGAAAAGCGCCATCTAAACGCAAGGGAAAATATCTAAATCTGGATGTAAAACATCCAAAGTGGCAACACCGCTGACAGGTCTGAACCTTATATGTGGGGTTCGGTGCTTCCTGATCTCCTTGGATCTGTTCCTCGCAACTTTTGAGTGGATGGTACAGGAGACACAGTAGAGCAGCTCCGCATACAGCTTGGGCAGGGCGTAGATTTCATCAACGCTGGCGTCAGGAATATCCCTGACGGCTGCTGCTTCCACAATGATTCTGATGTCAAATTTCTGTATGGCCTTGTCCTTGGGCACACACCTGGCACAGTTTGTGCAGCGCACATACCTGACATGCCCTCGGCCCTTCTTGCTACGTTCGTTGTTTCTTCGCTTTACGGTCATGGCGGTGGTTGATAGCCTAACAGAATTGTTATTACTGGGATCTCCTTTGCAGAAGACATTAACAGTTACTTCATTTAACAATTTAGCTTCCGGTCAAAATGGACTCTAGGCGGGCCACTGTTTTTAGAGCCGATGCAAATTTTTTGCTTCTGCCAGACGGTGGCCCATGCATTTTTGTTCAATTTGTAGACTGGATATAGTTTCGTCGCCCAGCTTCTGAGTTGAATGCATGGCGTGACACTGTGAGCTGCGGATTTCATTTGGAATGTTTTTTTTTTTCGACTGTGACCAACGTGGTGGTGTGAATTGTAGATTCAGAAAATGGCGCGATACCTGTTGTCGCAATTTTTGTGGTGCCCGTATGTGATTAAAATTGATCGCATGGGCAACTGCAGATCTGTTGATGACCATCAATGATGATCTGCATTTCTAATGTCGGACTGTTTGTGTTATTAGCACTTCGGATGGCTACCATATGCTTTAATGCTGAGACAGCAGTCTGTCAATCTTTTCACAAGGGACTGTGATAAACATTCTGTGTGTTTTTCGTTGGCACGGGAGCGGAGCAAAGATGGGGTGACCCGTTTGCTATGAAGCTGAAACGACTACCAGACCAGACTAACAGTTCATTTAACGAATTGGGCCTTGTGTTAGGCCTGCCAAAAAATGTTACCAAACTCAACAGCGTACAAAGTCAATAAGAAGAAGAATGAACCTATCAAACGATATATAAGAATAAAAAAACAAAGTACAGTTTAGTAATTACTTTGTGTAAAATCAAAACAAAAACATTTGTAAAATTCAACCAATCTATTTTGAAAAGCTATTTGAGAGAAAAATAAATCAGCTGAGTAAAAAAAAAAAGTATTATTAATTACTTTAACAACAATTAGCGACAAATGTATAAAAAAAAAAGTTAATACTAATTTTATTTATAACATCAATTGAAACAAAAATGTAAAATGATTATGTCCCCTAGATTTATTTTGCTAGAAACCATTACATGGAGAAGGGAGATAGAGGTCAGTTGCGAATCCTTTACAAGACGTTGCAGAACCAACCCCAACAGCCCCTCTCGGCATTACGAAGCGTTTGCCATTGCCCTGGACGGTCAGCTTTCTTGATACCACTGTCGAAACCAACGCAAGGCGCATGGCTTGCAGCTGGGGTCGAACCCGGCATCCCGGCATAACGAAGCGTTCGCATCTACTTAGCCACAGAGCCAAAGGGAGATAAAGAGTGAGGCTAAAAAGCTGAGGAGGACACGGGGAGTGCTGAAGCCATAGCACAGTATAAAACAACTTGACGTGAGTTGGCTGAGGGCCTGTGCTCCACTGGGGGGGTTAGAAAGACAGAAGACAACGAACATAACCCACTCTTCACCTGTTCTTTTTCGCGTTTACCGATTGTAATAATCTCCGGCAGAACTTTCTGACAAGAAATCAGGCAGTGTGACAGACAATGTGAGAGAGTCAACAATGTGGAGATTTAAGGAGAACTACTACCAGTTAATCAAGTGAGGAAAAGATATTGAGCACAGGACAGGACACACACTGAGAAAGCTCAGATAAGGGCATAACTGATATATCCTTGCATAATTAACAACTGGAGCTGGTGTTGTGTAGCGGCTCGACACAAGCCTGAAGATATAAAGGTCGCAAGTCCTGTGAAGTAAAGGTGGCCGGCATGATATGTAATTTAGATCTAGCCCTATATAACTACAGCAAGATGTGCAACACCATAATGTGTAACACATAATGAGAGGCATCGGATTTCCAAAACATCTGGTGGACTTAATGGAATCTTTTTACCAAGAACAACAAGCAGCAGTCAGAGCACCTGGTGAAACATCAGAGTGGTTTGAATTGCAGAAAGGAGTGAGAGAGAATTGCATTCCTTCTCCCTCCCTTTACAACATATATGCTGAAAATGTAACGAGAAATGCAGTTAGCAATAAGAGCTTTTATCCACTAAAAATTTGAGGTAATCCTATCCCAGAACTTAGATATGCAGACAACACAGTTCTCCTTTTCAATGTACAACTTTTAGAAAAATTAATTCTGGTGATCAAAAATCGAAAAAAGTGAATCTTTTTTTGAATTAACAGTAAATACAGCACACCAACCAGACATCGCAATCGAAATTGAAGAAACAGAAAATGTCACAGATTTTGAATACTTAGGTTTTTTAGCGAACAACAGTAGAGACAGCTTGAAAGAGAAGTCAGAAGAAGACTTGTATTAGCAATGCAGAGATTAAACAGCATGAAGAACCTGTGGCAAAGCGCCTGTAAATTAGCTGAAGTAACAAATCTTGAGCTTATATATTTTTCCTGTGGCAACTTACAGTTGTATCCTAGACTCCCACTAAATTATTCAAGAAAAAGATTAAAGCTTTTGAATTAAAATGTTACAGAAAAATTCTCAAAATACCATGGATCAAGTAGAGGAAAAACACCGAAATTCTGCAGGAGTTGAACATCGAGAGAACTGGATCGTTAACAGTGTCCTATCCCAAAAGTTAAAGTATTCTGGCCACATCAAACATCAAGGTGGCTTGGAGAAGACAGTGATGAAGGGTTCAGTTTGTGGAAAGCGAGGCAGGGATCAACCTCTGCGAAGATGGATACAGGACATTAAAGGGGCATTGACAATGAAATCACATGGGGCTGGGGAGAGGGATACGTTCAGGTGTGTAGTGAGGACAGCCACATTCTGTAAAGGAGATGCAGACTAATGATGAGCTTTATATGCCCAGTATACCTGAAGGTGTGGACAAGGTCCTTTACTTTACAATAACCAACTAGGCCAAGAAAAAACTTACATAAAAAGAGAGTCTTTTAACTACTGACAGTCTTTCTGATACTGACAGTCTTTCTGACACTGACAGTCTTTCTGATACTGACAGTCTTTCTGATACTGACAGTCTTTCTGCTACTGACAGTTTTTCTGCTACTGACAGTCTTTCTGCTACTGACAGTCTTTCTGATACTGACAGTCTTTCTGATACTGACAGTCTTTCTGCTACTGACAGTCTTTCTACTACTGACAGTCTTTCTACTACTGACAGTCTTACTGCTATCTGAAAACAAATATCTGGCCAAAAGTAGAGAAATATATTGAAAAATACAGCCTGTGACCAAATTGGCATTGCCATGTCTATAAACAACACTGATGTTTCTTCTTTAACTTGCTTAACATATAAGAAATTTGTTTTAGCTTGTTTAACATAAAAGAAGTATTAAGTGTCAGTTCCTTGCGCGGGAAATGTATAATGGTTTCTTCCTTATTTGTTCTCCTTCATGATTGCACTCTGAAGGATTACCACCTCAAGGATGAGAATCACACAGGTACCAATCCTAGAAACCCTGTTCTGCATTACAGTTATATCAGGGCACCCACAAATTACAAAGTAACCTGCAGTCCAACCTCAGTGAGCTTGCAATTAAGTATGAACGTCTTATTATTACTACTGAAAGTCTTACTGTTGCATGTTAGGCAAATTTACGTCCAGTAGTTTGCCAGTTTTCTGGGCGGTCGGCTTCTCGATACCACTGTTGAAACCAACGCAAGGCCCGCAGCTGGGATCGAACCCGGCACCACGGAGTGTGTGCGCAAAGCCTTAGCTACAGACAAAGTCTTGCTAGGAAAAAAGGTGCCGGTACTCACCAAAAAGTGTCTTCAAAGGTACTGATACTCACAAAAAAGTGTCTATTACAGTAGTGTTAAATAAGTTAGGCCTTTAACTCTTTCAGTTCCAGAACGTCCTAGCTTATATATGAGATAGGCAAGAATGACAACACTAAACTGATGGACATACTACTTCCACGGGGATCAAATACCCAATTCATCACGGAAACATATTTTGTCTTGAGTTTCTTTTAAAAGAATCTTTCACCAAGCCTCACATTTAAAACACAGATAACTTACTGAGTTAGTTAGTTAGTTAGTTAGTTAGTTGGGTTATCATCATTGCACTCCGGACATGTCCATAGGTGCTCAGATCCTCCCCTCAGTATGAATCCCAACGTCCGATGGCTAATAGTACCAGTTCTATGTTGATTAACAAATCTTCTGACGTGTCCGGTGTGCGTCTCGTTTTTTGCTGTGCCGATCTTAATTCCCAAGTCTGCCATTCTGGCGAGTGATGTGGATTCACTGCCACCAAAGTCCTCTATCCTTCCCATTTCTCTGAGGGCATTGATAATATCAGCATGATCCATAGGCCGACCGTCGGTAGTGATAGCGGATCCAGCCAGCCTGTCAGCTCTTTCATTTCCATCGACGCCTGCGTGTCCCGGAACAAAAATAAAGGTGACTCCTCGCACAGTAGACTTCTGAATTGATTCAAGCCATTGTCTTCGCACTGAACCTGCCTGGACCCTCCGGGTCCACTTACTGAGTGGTTTAGATAATTAATAGCCAGTCACACCTAGTGCATTCATCAGTGCAGAAAGAGTTCAGAAAGGTATCAACACAGAAAACAGGAAAAAAAAATAACCTGATGACTACTATTAGAGAACAAACGTCACCCAAAAACCATAGAGATGCCCAACAAATACTGTTTTCAACTGATGGTCTCTTGTGTGTATGGAATATTTATGTTTACTGCTTGGGTAGGGAGTCACCATGGCATAGTGGCTGGGCGCTCGCGTGCGGATAAGAAGGTTGTAGGCTTGCTCCCTGGCGGAGCCAGACTTTTTTTTTTAAATGACATTGACTCCCAGGTCGACCCAGCCTTGAGTGGGTACCGGGTGCAGTCCTGGGAAGTAAAGGCGGCCACGTCGCCCATCTTGTGCTGATTTATCTATAAAAATATAGGTCTAGCCCTATATGCCCTATACGCCTAAAGGTGTAGAAAAGGGACCTTTACTTTTTGAGGGCGATTATATGAGTATCCTTTTCTTCTGCGTTCATTTGAAGATTAATTGCTTTGTACCTGTTTACATTATGGCTGCGAGATTTGCACCTTTCAGCTGACATATCAGACATGCCGATATT